GCGTCTCTCCGGCGCGGAGCGGGGCGCGAGAGCCGGCGGCCGGAGCGCTTTGTCGCGGGGCGCGCGGCTCGGAGGTCCCACTCACCCAGCCTCCGCCGAGGAGCGCTCTCGCGCCGTGGACAAGGTGGCGGCTGTGCGGGCCCTTCTTCCCCTGCCGCGCGGTCGCGCGGCGCGCGCGGCCGGCGAGGGGACGGAGGAGGCGGAGGAGCGGGCTACGTGCGCCGGCCGCCGGAGCCCGGCGTGCGCGCGCAGCCTGGCGGCGGGCGGCGCGGCGCGCGGCGGCGGGGCGTCGGCGCGGGGAGGCTGACCGGCGGCGCCGACCGAGGTCCGCCTTGTGGCCGGGACCGGTGGGGCGCGGGCTCGGCGCCGCGCGGCGCGGCTGGTCTGCGCGGGGCTCGGCGCGTCTCCCCTTGCGGCAGCCCGGGCTTTGTGTGGATGCGGATGCGCGGCGGCCGCGATGGGCACGTCAGTAACGCTGCCCGCACGCCCGCCCGCTGGGCAGCGCTCCTCTGCACCGTGCGCCGGCCAGTGGGCGCGCGGGTGGAAGGATTTATTTCTATATATATCGCTGGCAGGATAATAGCAAGCCACCATCAGCATATGTTTCCATGTGTTCGTGCCTCACGTCCTCCGTTTTTAAGGAGTGATACGGAGCGGGCCGTTTGGGGAAACCTGGAGAAATGCGAAGGAGAAGGTGTGCAGGGCATGCTTCCTTGGGGAGCCGGGAGCACATGCTTGGACACGAGATTCAGACCTGCCCTGCTCGCACCCCGGTGCGAGGCACCTATTGTGATTAGGCTGGGACGCCTACTCTTTTGTTTTGATCCTTTCCTGTGATCTCGCCGATGTACACAGCAGCCAGACAAAGAGTTCTCCAGGACAAGGGAGAACGTTGGTTCGAAGACCACGTTGTTTTCCCTGCCTTTCTCATCCCATCCTCTTCCTCTCTGGTCACCCCCCCCCCCAATCCTCGTGGAAAGTAAAGATGGTGGCCGCCTGGGGGGGTCCCCAGGTTGCTGTTGCATGTGAGGTAAACAGTGATCGAGCGGCGGGTCGATAATAACCCACAGTAGTCTGGACACAGGGTGCATTTATTTGGAGTCCCCTTTAATGTTGGCCATTTGCCGTGAGTAGATTCATCTGTGAGAATAGTTATCAATACAGCTGTTCACATTCTTTTATCTGTACCACACTTTACCAGCTGATTTTGTTTTCTATTTTCTATGAGAGTGTCTTGCATTGGTCGTGCATATTTTGTGAAAGGAGATGGAAGGGATTGGAGCCCACTGTCCGTGTCAGCGCGTCACCAGTCCCCAGGGCCCTGAGGATAACGCGAGGGGCAGCGAATAGGTGTCGTACCCAGTCCCTCACTGGCAGCTTTTCGCCAGTGTTGTCCATGATCCCTGATGGCAGTCCTCCCCCACCCCCAGCAGTCAAAAGCTGCTACAACTGTAGGAAGAAGAAATTATTTTCTTTCTCCCCACTCCCTAAATCTGGAAATGTTTAAAAGTGGTGGTGGGTAGTCACGTTTCTGAATGAGACGCTATGATGTTACTAGAACTTGAAACTCTGTGACTTTGAGAGGCAGGGACTACAGAATCAGGACTGGCCCTCCTTGGGGTAGCGAGTCCAGGCCTCTTGATTCTACGCCAACACTTCCAAAAGTTGCACGTTTCAGCAGCTACAAGCGGCAACAAAAAGAATCCAGGGGCTTTCTCTGCAGTTTCACAGCAGAGGGTGGAAAGGAAGTACAATGATTCGGGCCTGCTTCTGTGACCCGTCCGTGCAATTTTGTAGAGTGCGCGAGGCAAATTTAGCCTTATTTGTGGAATAGGTTGCAGCAGAACCCCTGGAACTGTGGAGAGCTTCAAAGAATTGCAGAACGCTTGCATAGACAGTTCCAGAATAGAGCCACAGCTTGTCTGATTCTGAAGGTCTTCAGAGAGGTGGGGAGGAGAGGGTACAGGAAGCCTGCCAGAAGACCTGGGCTGTGGAACTAAACCCGCTCTCCCAGGCAGAATTGTTAAGTGGGGGCCTTGGTTCTGAGGGCCTTTCATTGACCCTGCTTCTTGCATACCTTCCTGTTGCTTTCTGTGCCCCAAACCTTTCTCTTAGTTATCCATTTATACCTTTCCTATCTGCTCTGCTCCAAATCTCCCCATATCTAAATTTCCCAGTTTATTTGGATTTATGAGTACCATGGTCTGTAGTGATGATCAGCAGGAAAACCAGCATGTTATTTGATTAAAATAATTCGGACTAAAATGTTAGTGACTGAAGAACTGGAGTCAATAACTTCTCAGCCTGCTTCTGAAAAGTTGCATACCTCTGCTCTCTACAGAGTCACTAACCTGTCTGTGATTGCCAAAAATAGCAGATTTGGTGTTACTTCTATACAATTATGAAGAAGAGATTGCTAACAGAGAGCATGGTTTCCTAATCTTTCATTTTCACACTGAAACACTAGAATAAATTGGAAATACATTGAAAACATTTAGAGATATTGCTTTGGTAAAATAAAATTGAACATTATGGTAGCACCAGTTCTAAGAGTTTGGTTCTTTTATACTAATCAGCAGTTTGACTGTTTGTCAGTTAACTCTCTGGGCCTCAGTTTCTCAGCTGTTAAAATGAAGGAGTTGGAGAAGTTGTAAGGTTCTTTCAAGTTCGTGCAGAGTCTATCAAGTTACAATACACTGGGGAAGAAAAAGAGAAGAGATAGGCACTAATATATAATGGAAATAGCATATACTAGGACACTTGTTAAATTATAGACATACTCTCTTATTCAGACTTGTCTGACACTTTTATTACTTTCATTTCTTCTTCAAAGATCCTTTCATTAAGCAAAAAATCTTTCACTAATTTCTCCTTGGCTTGTTCAGTTATTGGTATAGCATGCATACTTCCCCATCCCCCCGTGGATCTCAAATGTAGTCCTGTGAGTCATTAAATATATTTTTATTATTAGAATTACAGCTTCATGTATAAAATCTGAATCCTTTTATATAACAATTGTAATGAGATCCTGAGTAACAAAGTCAACATCTTGTACAGATTCCTTTCTCATTAGTTAGTGCAGGGTGGGGGGGAAAAACTTGTTTTCTCTATTATACATTGGAACAACTCAAGACAGAAGGGAATTGATTTTATCAAGGGTGTCAGCATTCTAGGACATTTCTCAGAAAACTCTGAGACTGTTTTGGGGTAGGGATAGGGAGGAGAAAAAAGGGGTTTTGTCTGAACGTCATTCCTTTTGAGTACTGAACCCCTACATCCTATCACCCACCATTAATAGATGTTTTGCTCTGGATGCTTTTGGATTCTGGATCTCCTACTGAACTGTTTCCGGCAAGAAAATTGATCTCAATGTTCTGGTTATTTATTGCTCTGTAACAACGCTAAAACGTAGTTGTTTAAAACAAAACTGTGTTATTATAGCTCACAGTTCTGTGATTTGGCCAGGCTTTTCTGGGCGGTTCTCACTGGGGGCCTCATGCAGTTACAGTGAGACTTGGCTGGAACTGGAGTTACCTGCAGGCTCTTTGGGGTAGGATGACAGGCAATTGATGCTCCCAGAGATCAGCCAGAGGTGCCACCTACACGTGGCTTCTTCCTGTTTCTAAGGCTGGAAGAAGAAACTTCCAGCCAGTTGAGGCTATACCTGGAACTGGCAGTGTCACTTGTATCTGTTCCATTGGTTAAAGTGCTCATGAAGTCTGCTCAGTGTCAAGGGGGTGAAGAAATAGATTCTACCTTTTGATGGAGGTCACATTGGGTTGTGACCAGCTTTGGAAAATACAATCTGCTGTATTAAGGGACTGAGTCATAATTTGTTTATAAAGTAAAGATAGCATTATCTAATGGAGTTGTAGTTTCAAGGATTCAGTGGGATAATGTATTACCTAGCACAGTGTCTCAATATTTAACAAATGGTGAATATCATTACTGTTATTGTCTCCAGATTTCACACTAGTTCCATCTAGGGCTATAGGACTCCTAGAATGTCTTGGTCTGGTACTTGGGCATCATTACTACTAGGTGATGATAATACCTTTAAGATATGCCAAGAAGAAGAGGCAAATGGATTTGATAGATTTTAAAAAAAACAAACAAACCCTTTAAAACTCATGTATCAATGGAAACCTTGAATGATTTGGGAGAACCAAGTCATTTTTCTGTTCTCTCTGCTGTACAAGGATTAGTTCAGCCTTGCATACTTGAGGCCAAATTTCTCTTCTGATATGCTTTCAGATATTACGTTGTGTCTTTAAGCGGAGGTTTATCCAGTGTTGAATGCAGAATCTTGCATCTAATTTGCTTCCATAGGGCTTAAATTCAGAGACGAGGGAGATTTAGGGAACCTTGGGGGGGGCATCAAGTAGGAAGCCTTCTCTTATGATTCACCATAAATTGCAAGATGTTCTGGAATGATGATACATCAGCAGTTTATAAGTCATAATTTTTGTTTTAATTTGCTAG